AATTTACTCGGAAAAGTTATTCTTTCTTTCGCTATGAAGGACTACTGTGCAGCAAACATCTTATTTATTTTCTAAAACTGCGTAACTGAAATAATACAATTTATACAACGTAATTCAAAATCTACACAGACAGGATGGTTTGGTGAGATATCTAAAAAGCTAGATACAGATTTGAAAATAATTTTGTTGGGCCATTAAAATAATTATGTAGTACGTACACAAAGAAAAACTAGTTACTACAATGTTTATGATTTTTTACATCAGCATTGCTCATCATACTTGAGATTCCTACGTAATTATTTGATGGTCCAACAAAATTATTTTCATATCTGTGTATCTACAGCTAAATTTTTAAATATTTCTACAAAATCTTCTTTCTGTATAGAATGTTTAAGTAATAAATTCACTAAATGTGCAATTCGTTTTAAACCATCACGAACGCTCGAGATTGTAAATTTTGTCTTAAAAAATACGCGTTAATTACATCGACCAGTTGTGTCGGTCGTTCTTAAAATGCCAGGAGAGGGAGGACGTATAACTCATTTCGCATGTATTCTTCGGGCGTCGTGCAGAACCGTCCCTTTGTGGGATATGCGAGCTTTAAACCTCTCGGCCGTCTATTCTAGCCACGTACTATAACTCGCCTGGAACGCGTGCGGTCCCTCAGGGCGGACGCACGAAACGTTTCTTCCCCTTATGAAATTGTAACAGAGGCAGGATTAGCATGGGGCATTGTCTCCAGAGCGAAGGGTAGGTTCACGTTGTAGCGATGTTATCGAGATCTACCCGCCTCGACTCGCATCTCGAATATATTTGAATTTCCATTCTCACTTTCACTTCCGAAAATATGTCGTTTTAAATGGACATCTTAAATCTTGAGAAACAACCTTTCTATTGTTCTTATGATGTTTTTCACGGCTTATTCAAATGTAACTAAATTCAATTATTAATGAAAATTTATGGAAAGTAAAAAATGAACTCTGGACAAATATACTGTCACACTTTCGGTAAATTCACAAAGCAAGATTAATTATAAGATTAATTATTACAGAGTCTTTATATTACTATTTATGTCATACATAATAATTGTTTAGAATGTTTATTATATTTGCTGCACTTACAAGTTTAATATTTAGACATTTTCCGCTTTTATCATCTTTCGCCTCGATTTCGCTTCTTTTCTCACATGCCCGCTCGATTTATGGTATATATAACTAACGTCTTCGAGTCGATCTGACCTCATTCGGTGCTGTATCTCCCTCACAGCATCCGTATAGCGATCTCTTCCTGCTTCTAGCAGCCGGACAATCATCATGCATATATGTAAAATGCAAAATTGTATCATCCTATGCGCGGTATTCTTTTTTGCGTTTCCTTCACCTTGCGTCCACGTATCTCGTTTTCCAGTTTACCCCACGACAGCATCCCCCGCAGACCAAAATGCTCCAGGGACTTAACACAAAGGAACGAAAGAAGGGGACCCAGTTCCTGCGGCCTGCTCGGGCCCGGGTGTTAACCTTTTACAGCCACATATCGCTACGAAAATTGAAATTCCATACTCGTTAATTCTCAATGGAATTGAACTCTGGTAGTGGCAACAGACCGACCTCGCAATGTGATTTCACTGTAACCAAGCTGAATGGACCAAGCATTCGCATCGCGAAATAACAAAATCAGACGGCGGTAAAATTTACCAAAGGACAAATCTAACAAAGTTCTCGATACGATACCATAAATGCTTTCACATTTTGTAACACGCACATCAATATGATTAATTGTTTAACGCAGACGAAATTATATATATAGAAAATTTGTATTAACACATTTCATGTGTCCCAAACGATCCACTCAAATTTTTGTGTTAATTTTACACAAGATAAATATAATAGCAAGAAACATAAAGATTATGCAAAAAATTAACAAAAAATATAATAATAACATAATGTGCAAACAAACTAAGGAAACTATTTTTTCAGTAAAATTAACATTTATGATATGTAAAATCAACATGTATTTTTTATTCATTTATTTTAGAATTTACATTTGACATTATGATTACATTATTTATTCATTTACTCATAAATGTTATTTTGACAGAAAGAAATGTTGAATATTAATTTGACACAAAATATTCAAATAACATAATCACATAATGCTGTGCTTTGACGTTTTCTCGTCTCCTTTCTTGTGTGTTCAGTGATCGCATGTTAAATTAACATTCGGATGTTGAAAATTCGACACAAATTTTAATAAGGACTTGAGTGAATTGGTTTTAACACAAATACAAAATTCTTTTACTGGGTAAGCGTACAACAAATAAATTATTTATCGCTGACGGAACCAATGGTCGAAATTATTTCATCGTTGCTTCATCATTTCTCCAAACTTCGAAGCTCATGTGAAACACAACTTTGTCACTATCGTTGACACATTTTCGCACAAGTTACCTAACGGAAACCCAGCATGCGAAACATAAGTTACATTCATGCAAACTCTATATCGCTCCGCGGTGAACGCTCTGGAGTAACTTGAGCAGAACGGCTTGTCCGTGCCGAATAACTCGCGCGTGTACATCAATTCGCTCCGTGTATCTATTTAATGATCACGAGCGACCCAGCGAAACGCCTGGAGGCGTGGAGTGAACTATAACGTCGTGCTTCGATGTTTTCGCGTCTCCGATTTCTGTGTGTTCAGTAACCGCATTGTCATCCACGTTAAAATTAGTTTCAGTGATACCACAATCGTCGCATCTGGCATGAAGACCAACGAGAAACGACGAGGGCGGATGTCCACTCTTCTCTGTCTCTCTTGTTCGAAGGGCGGTTTTTCTCGCGACAGGTGGTGGATTCAACGATACAAATATAATTGCATTTTCGAATCGCTGTTTCTCTCCCAATATTAGACCATGATTTCATCGTTTTTTGTCTGTGTTAAAAAAATGACTTTTTCTTTCTTTATTGAAGTTTCTATGTATGTTAAATAAGCGGAATAAATCAATAATATTATAAACCCCTTAATAAAAAAAAGAGTAATATGTCTTTTCATGTAAGAATAATTATCTTTTTACGTAAGAGTACCGTGTCTTTTTGTTTAAAAGTATGGTAATTATCTTTTTTGGATGTTAATACCTTTTTTAAGAAAAGTACTCGCTACAGCGATACTCAGAATTATCCAATACAAGTTTTTCTCGAATAAAATGTTCCGCTGGGTGTATACATTAATCGCTCTAAGTGTTTTGTTATATCATTCGAGTATCCTTCACCTCTTTCACAAGGAAAATCCGAGGTAACCGTTTATTTTATCGAACAGTAGAAATCGACACTGTAAAATCGTGATAACGCGTGGAAACTCCAACGTTGCACGAAGTACCCGAAGATACGAACTTCTTGCCGGAAGCTGTAGGTCGAGAGCGAGGGTAGGTCGAGGCAGGTGGAGGAGCACGGTGATTTTCCAATCGAGCCGGGGGGCGTTCGTTGTCTCTCCGAAGAGAACAAATCGACGAACAACGCCGACGATCGGATTTTGTCCCGGTCAGAGTCAGCCGAATGAGTAAAATCGTAGATAGCCACCGCCAGGTGGATGCGACTCGTCGCATCTTGTCACAACGGGGAGAGTTAAAAAGCAATTTTCCCTCTCCGGCCGAGGGTCTGGCAGCTGACCGCCGTTCTCAGTACATCGGAGGCGAGATCTCGACACAGCGAATTTGATTCAATCTTTAACAATCAAGCGCATTTGCTAAAATTCACCTGCCAGCTTTCTTGTACATAAAAAAAATATGTGTATATAAAAAGCTACGTTTTAAAGGAATCTATGAAAATGACAAAATGACGAGCGTCAGTTTAAAAAAACGGCACAGAAAACAAAATATTCTGTAAATTCTGTAATAGCTAATTAACCCTCCATTGACAATGTAAAATTTCTATCCTTCGTCCGCAATCAGAGTCTCCGAACTTTGTAGATTATTCCGGACAGTATAAAAATCTGAAAAAATTCTTACATGTGAAAGCTTTAACAACGAGTATTTATTATCAAAGAAATTTGATTATATTTTACTTATTTTTTCACAGAGAGAGAAAAATTAAATTTATCGACTAGAATTCACAATCGAAAAATCGACTGTGCCTTTAAAGGTCAACATTGCCGGCGGAGGATTAAAATGTATTCGTGATTGTTTATGTCTCAGGCATCATTCGTACGATACGCAAATGCACTTTGCGAGTAGAATATATGAGCTTTTAAACCGAATCCCACCGATGAGAGAGACCGTGGAAAAATCATCGTACGATTCGTTTGCCTACAATGGATCGCTTAGCCGGCAGATACGCGTCAGCTGTCCTGATGATGTCGGTGTCGTTTCGCTCGACTATGCGTGATTGACAGTTTTATGGGGACGAGCGGAGCCCATGCACTTTCCAGTTACGACCGGGGTCTGGTTTTATCATCCCCTCCTCCCTCAAACGGGGGCCAAACATTATCCGACATTTGATGCTAATCGATACGCGGATGGCCGCAGGGGAAAAAAGGGTGTAGTACGGCAGGCTAAGTTCTTTCTAACTGGCAAATGAATTCTTTATACGATATTTGAGAAAATGAGTTCAGGGTCTACAGTCTATAGATAGCATTAAAACTGCGTTCTATCCATTTAGATTTCTTTATCAATTCCAGACGATATAACTATGAAGGCTATTGTGTTTACATTTTAAATACAGTTGGAATGTTCACCTTTAAAAATATCAAAATTTAACATTTTACTGCACGTATTATGTAATTAAAAGTTATAAACCTTGTTAAAGTTTTACAAAGTTGTTTCTAAAAGCTTCATCATACTAAAACACAGCAGATGATCACGTTTTCACATTTAAAGCTAAATGCGACTTTAATTATAGGTTTAATTCGTCATTTCAAACACATGAACAGTAAACTCGATGTAAATGTAACACATTAGATGACGCACGTTAAGCCAGTAGAAATCGGAATGTATAAAAGTCTGGACAACTCACCTCGCAATTGGAATGACTGATGTTACTCAGATTTAGCCTGAAGATCTTGTCCCTGAAAGCAGAAGAGGAAAGTTTCGTGTTAGCGTAACGGTCGAATTAAGCGTGGTCGCGATAGACGAAAGAGTCGAGGGGTAAATTTTCATTCCCTACGTCTACGAGATGCATTATTCTCCGTGACTCGACTCTACCTTATCTCGCCACGGTTATGTATGGTTGTGTAGCACCACGGCATTTTGCTTACAGCTCTCCGACATGGCGAACGCTAGCAAACGGCACGGAATTTCTATGAGGATGGAGAAGAAGAGGCCGGAGGGTAAAATAGAACGAGTTGCTCTTTTCTGACCGAGTTTCTGCGTTGTCTTTTCTTTGTTCGACGGTGACCGAAGTCACGTCGTTCTCGTACCGTTTGTTAGGATTTTATTCCTTGGAAGAGATCGCCGTTCACATTCGAGACTGACGGATAAAACATAATAAGAATCGTAGTCGACGAGTCGAAATAAACGCAGATTACGCAACGCGTCGTTGAAGATCGAGGGGGTAACCACTAGCTGAAATATTGTCCCATAGATTACATGATTTCATCTGATTATAAATAATTTTTTTCATTACATATGAAAGTAATTTGGTAAAATATAGGATTTTATTTAATATCATACATAATTAATGATCTCTCGTGGTTGCATATGTAATCGAATTATACATAGACATTTCATATGAATTTTATAATGATTTCGAGGACTCTGTCCCACGATTACATTAAGTGGTTATCCCCTTGTTGAAGATTCTCATACTAAAATCGATGTAACAGCCATTAGTATTAATAATTTCGCATCGGTTGTCAAGGCATTAATTTCACATTTCGACGTAGAAATGATATGTTTCACGTACTTTGATCAATATAACAGCCAGTCGATATCAATGCGGGAAACTGCGACGATGTTCATATAAATCTCTTTGCGACCATCGCGGCGGCAATCTGAGGTTCTGCGTTCGATCGTACGTAAAAGGTATATGCGCTGCTAGGCGCCACCGATCGTAAATCGAATTTACCCAGTTTTCAAATGTGTGTGTTTCGCAACATTAACGCCGGCGCGCCGCATAACTTTATCCCAATAGCCATTCATCATCGCCTTTCAATAGAAATACGCAGTCGGACGGAATGCGCTCGCGGAACGTGAAAAAAAGAGAAGAAAGAAAGAAGAAGGAAGGAAGACCTATCCCTCAGCGGCTCTCCTTTTTCATTCATTCTGTGCATCGCACCGTGAAAAAGTAAATACCAATGTGGAAAAACAAATCCGTACTTTGGAATCTACCCGCGTCGAACTTTCGTCTCGGCGAACTTTTAGAGGGTTCAGCAGGAGGAAGGAGAGGCGAGTATCGTCTACGTGCTGGCACGTCGCTCATGCTACCGAAAGAAAAAATTCGTAGGAAAGTAATTTGTGGGGAAAACTCGGTGTAAAGGGTGGATTGCTGCAAAGTCATCGCTCAGTTCCTTTGAAATTCAATTGGTAAAACGTGCGTAATCAAACCGAGAAATTACTTCACCGCTGAAAATCACAGAGGAAAAATTTCATTAAGATCTCATTGACACGCTTCCACGAGAAGTGGAACATTTTCTAAAAATAAAGAAAGTGTTACTTGAGAATCGGGGAAAGAATTCGGTTCAATTTAACATTTTACATCGCCTTAAGGGCTTTCCAGGGAAAGTTTAATTAAAATCTCGAGCAGTTTGCTGAGGTCGTACAGCAATTTCTTAAACTATTAAAGACGCCTTGTAGAGTGCAGAAGAAATTTCAACAAATTTCATTGCTAATTACGCAAATAGGAACAAAGACTTAATTAAAGACTGGATCTATATAATATAACATTTACGACACTCCAAACAACGCCCGTGTGTGACCATACGAATTGTTCCGTGTTTTTCGTCGTGTATTTTCTGAAATAGGTCGCAGTTTAAGATAACAGCCGCACCGCTTTCATGTCTAGGATTTCACTTGTGTAATACGGACATTTTCATCGTGGGCGAGAAGGAGCCTGACGAATGCCGGGCGAAATCCGAAAAGCATCGTTGTCTGAATTTGTGGTTGTGCGTGATGGACAGCTCTGACCCGGGATGCATTATCCAACGCGTCGAGATCTACTCCCTTGCTTTTCTCTCTTCCTTGCTACTTTGGGGGAATACATGACAAGGGCCAGAAAAGTGGCGTTTGCAACAGTGCTATTTACTCCAACGCCTTCGGGAAGGAGATGTATATCCGCGAGAAGAGCTGGGTTTAACATAATAGAACGATTTTAATAATTTCCACTATAAATCAACGAATGTATACATGTCGGAATAACGTTACATCTACGTTTCAATAAACCGCAATGCAGCTCTGACTTAATACGTGATTTAATATGTCACTTTTCATAAAATAATAGTGATGAAAAATAAACGTGCGTATATGAGCGGCAAGTAATAGAGCAATATGGAAAATAGATGGAAACGCTACTGTTGAAATATGCGATTTAGCAAGAATTAGGTTTAACCTAATTCTCTTCTATACAATTTTGTCAGCTGCAGTCTAACGAATAATCCGCTAAATCGATATACGACATCTAAAGTGTTAACGTCGTTGAAAATGTCCGGAAAAGAGAGAGAGAGAAAGAAAAAAAGAAAAAAGTTGAATTGCCACTGTCGGTTGTACAATGCCGCAAGCCCGTGACCGTTTTCACCTCGCTAACATTCGTGAATGTAACTCACTTTTCTCACGCTATCTCGAGCTTTCCCTGGGTTGTTTCAGTGGACATTACGAAGGTGAAATCTCTCCCGTTACGTTTCCAGCAACGGTTATTGGGAACAATTAGGAGGAAAATCAATCGCGACTAGATGTGACGTGTTAATCTCCGGTCACAGTTGCTTTCCGCGTCGAATTGTTGCTATCACAATAGAAGTCTGACGAGGAAAACGACAGATGCGGCCGTACGAGACGAAAATATGATCGACGAATTTTTATCTCGTTTCGCTAGACGTGCGGCAGACACAAGCCATGGACACGGATATAAGCGAGCTACATTTTTTTGTATTGCTCTCGCTAGCGGCCCCTCTGGCTTGATAATTGGAAGCGTTCAATTAGCGTGCCTTAATTGCGGAGCGAACCGCAACGCGGGTGCCGATTCTCAAACTACAATTAATGGCTATCACCTTTCTAATTAACGAGGAACGATGCTCGCGCGTGTATCGATCGTCGCGTGCGATAACGGAGGAAAAACGGTATCGCGAAGAACAGATACAACCGAAGGACACGAGAAAAGAATCCTGATCAAACGTGAGGTCGCGCGAATGGATGGCTAAAAGGTTAAATGTCTTCAAATCATTTAAAAATTATGTCCACGAGATCATAAGGCTTAAACATCCCTTATCGTTGAAGAAGGAATACCGAAACGATTTCCTTTTAGATTCTTATCGGAATTCTCTTCGATATTATAGTTTTGTAGATTGATACGCGCATATGTATATACAAGATGACGCAAGCACGTGGAACGAAGCCAGGAAACAGGAAACGTTGAAGTCGAAGTAGCCGCTTTCCTTGGGAAATGCAATTTATCGTAACTGCGCTTTTTCTTTTGTCGCTCCATATGGCGAGCTCATCCCATCGTAAAGAGAGAGAAAGAAAGTGAGGCAGAGTTATTTCAAAAGCGGAAGCTTTTATGCGATTGTGATGCTTTATTTTTCCATCGTACAGAAATATGATTTATATTCTTTAATTTGATTTCTCTTTGTGTTCTAATTAATTGTTATTAATTGTTATTAATTGTTATTTTTTAAAATTGTTAATAAAAAAGGTACACTTTGTGTTTCAAGTATCAATATAATTTTGTAATAAATGTTTTTTATATATATTTTTTTTATATGTAGGGAGAGTTGCCGAACGCATACCGTTTAACCTATTTTTTACTATATTTTCCATTTGGCATTGTTATGTACGCAAATGAACATTAGAAATTGTAGCTTGAGATTTTGGACGCTTATTATTACATGTTTAACTTTCCACCAATAAAATTAATTTGTTATAAGTCTTTTTGTAACATATTGCAAAAGATACGAAAAGGCAATCAGTCGCCTAAATCGTACTTATAGATATTTTTTATCGTATTTCCTTTGAAAGTATTGAATTTATGAATGAAAACAATTAAAAGTATAAGATTAATAAAAGAAATCATTAA